ACATTTCCTGAAAGACGATACTGAACCGCCTCGGCAATTAAAGGTGTATTAACATTGTAGAAGCTCTACAGAAATGAAGATCAATATAATTGAACACTATGGAACACACACACATTTCCATTACAGAAATATGCAGCGCTACGCCCCATAGATCGCACTGTTGTGTCTTTCTTTTCATTCTTATATAACCAGTTTTAACACATTTTTTTATCTGTTTTTAATCATTTTTATTATTTGTTTTTACATGTGCTTATATGTGTCTTTTATTCCTGTTTATGTAAATCACTTTGGATTACCACTGTGTAAGAAATGTGCTATATTAATAAACTTGCCTTGGCAAAACAGCACTGATACATACACTTATCAAACACAACTTGATTTGATTTATCATGCACACAAGAAAAAGTCTAGTATAGTGCTTTACAGCCATACTATAGTACATTATTAATAGTATTTAGATTTCTTTGCTAATGAATGCTCCATTGAAACTTTCTCACAATGCTGTTAATCATGTTATTATCTGCAGCCCCAGGTAATATTGGCATGTAATACTGCAAATTATTAAAAATAATTATTACTGTGAACAATGTATTTAGCAAAACCTTGATATAAACAATAAGAGCAAACAATAATATGAAACAATAGTTTTTTCAATGTTGTCTACACTGTGGTGCGTGTACCACTAGTGGTACAAGGGCTGCCTTCTAGTGGTGCGAAGAGTAATCCAATATGTCATATGTACATACAACATATATTCAAAAATTTTCAAAAATGGTTCATAAATGAATAGGATGACATACAGCCAATATTTATGAGGTCCAAGCAGCATTTCGAGGCTTTGATGAATAGGATGCTATAGGTTAACACTTTAAATTTAAGTACAGGAGATTACCATTATTAATGAACTTTTAAAAGCACATTTCAATTTAAACGCTGACATTTCATTTTGTTTGTTTGTTTTTTTACATATAAACACAGCAGTGTTAATGTTCAAACTATTTAAAAAGCCTAAAGTGGGCGATAATAATCAATTTTATTAATAATTGTAATTAATCTGCCACGTTTTTAAACTGTGCAAAGCTGTAGCTGCTTAATTAGGCCTACAACACTACTGTATTTCAACACTGGTCATATGGTGGTACATGGAGGGACAATTCTTTCTGAAGTGGTATTTGATGAAGAAAAGTTTGAGAACCACTGCTCTATTGGATTCAGGTCAGGTGATTGGCTGGGCCATTCTACAGCTGGGTTTTCTTTCTCTGAAAGCATCTGAGAGTCTCCTTGGCTGTGTTTTGGATCATTGTCCTGCTGAAATGGTTTGATCTTCATCCTCCTGCTGATGTAGATTTTGGACTGAGCTGATGTTCATTTACACTGAGGAAGGGTGTAAATGAACTACTGAGAGATTTCAGCTGCTGTCTGGGCTTTCACTGCCCAACTACACCTTCCTTTCTTCATGTGTTCAATACTGTTTCACTGCATCATTTCAGTTTATTCCACAGAACTTAATTTGTACACTAATTAGATTTGTTTTATCTGCATGTTTGGAATTATTTAGTTGTTACCAACATCCGGGGAAAATTTCAAGTCAACGGCACCTTTAAAAATATGTTTTCTGAGAACAATGGTGATATGTTTAATGTTTATTTTCCTCCACTGTATTTTTCACGAAACACCAAAACACATGTGTTTGAGCTGTTGACAGTGGTATATGTGTCTCACACTGCTGAAAACACTATTAGGACACCTATATCTCACTAAAAAGTGTAAATTGGTTGTTTTTGCGTTATTTCAAGCAAATTCGTACGTCCAGTTTGAAACGAATTTTTGAAGCTGCGTCACGGTCATGAGATAATAGCGTGTATTCCAGCGTGCAGACTGGACGACTGTGCCAGAGTGAGTCTTATTACGTCTTACAGTGTGCTGCATTAATGCATGAGTAAAGCTTGGTTCAAACCAATCAGCGCGCTCTATTGTGCAACTTCATTAATATTCATTACTGTTACAGTGTTTAGACGACAGAGACGCCACGTTGTGTTGGCAAAACAAGCGTGAAGTGTTGCTTTTATAGTTTGCTGCAGTGAAGTTTTGTTTTCATTTTCTCTCTGTGAGAGCGCAGCTGGAGTCACGTGTGGATTAACAGTGTACGCGACGCTCGACAACAATAACTTACGTGTCTAAGGAGGATTATTGTTTACCTGAGAGCTGTTCTCATCTGCAAACGCTGAGATCCGGATTCGCTTGTCGTCTCCTCTTAATAAAGACGCGGCTCTAGTTGCTGGTGATTGTCCTGTCTCTACAGATTTGGTAAGTGAGCGGCCAGCGCTCTTTGTTTATTCAGTTTGTTCGTATCGAACTAACTATTGCACCGAGTGTAAACATGTTAGCACCACAACCAAACTTTAACCTCGTGTAGGGTTTTCACCGCATTTAGTAACCGGAATAACACATGCGGCTTTCTGACACTACCTGCCGTGTGCATCTAAGTTTCCGGGAAATG